CACCAGCCCCAAGCACACGCTGCTGGCGTTGGGGACCCTGGGGACAGCCTGGCCCCGCACACCACCCTGAAAAGCCCTGGGCTGGACCCCACCACGTGTTTTTATAAATTCAAACTGGTGCTTTGCAGGCAGCACAGCCTGGGGCTGAGCTTGGTGCTGGTATCGGAGATGGAGGAGCATCAGGGGCCAGGAGCAAAGCCCGGTGCTCAGCGACGGGGGTGACACAGAGCTCCCCGCCACCCTCCCGGCAGCGTTTCAGGATGCGGATTTTGGCAGAGGCACGGCTGCAGGGAGGTTTTTCCCAGGATGATGCTGCATCCACCGCCCTTCAAATCCCAGGCAAAGGGTGGAAAAATAAAAAACCACAGAAAGCGATCTGAGCGTCCCTGAACAAGAGCAGATGTGCAGAGCCCATAAAAACCAACATTTTATAAAGCACCTGAACTACCTGCAGACACGCCGCTGCTCACAGCATCCCCTGCAGCTCGGGGATGCACAGGCTGGACTGGGGGTGTTTGAGGGCTCCCCCACCCACAGACATCCCTCTCCTCCTTCGCCTGCCGCACCCCAGCATCCTTTTAGACTCAAAAAGCCTTTGGAGGCAACCCTGGCTGCGCCCCCCTGCAAAGAGCTCCCTTCGCAGCACTCCTGAGCGCCGTGTCCGTCTCACCAGAGGGAGGTTTAAAACCAGAACTCATCAGACACACAAATTCCACGCAGCTGCCGCTCTGCCAGGCTCGCAGCGTGGCACCAACCTTTCCCGTTCCTGAAATTAAAAGTACCATCTGCAAAGAAAAAAAGAATATAGAAATCCTTTTATTTCATTTGAGGTAAAACCGCTCCCACTCACCAAGGCAGCACCAAAATCGCTCAAACTCGCGCGTCTGGCAGGGGCTGCACCAGCACCAAGAGGTTCCCCTTCCTCCCTCCAGCAGGAGAACCGCCCTCTCCCAATCTAAAACTTGGTTTTTGTCTTCCTTTAGCAAACCCTGGGGTCTTCCCCCAAGTTTCACTCCTCCTGGTGTTTTACCAGACCAGCACCTCCAAAGGCAGCGAGCAGATTCAGACGAACAAAACAGCCCCTGATCTTCCCTGTGTTCATAAACTCC